GAAGCTGAGGCTCCAGTACTTTGGCCATCTCATGAGAATAGAAGACTCCTTGGAAAAGACCTTGATGTTGGGAAAGTGTGATGGCAAGAGGAGAAGGGGACGACAGAGGATGAGATGGCTGGACAGTGTCATTGAAGCAACCAACATGGATCTGACAAAACTCTGGGAGGCAGTGGAAGATAGGAGGGCCTCGCGTGCTCTGTTCCATGGGGTCACGAAGAGTCGGACATGACTAAATGACAATGAATACAGTAATGGAATCCTATACAGTATAGTGTTATATGTCCTCAAAGTAACTTCAGACCTATGATGATCCCATGAATTAAGAGCCTTATACAAGTCCTATCTTTAATAGTCCTCTTCAGATCTTCCAGAGTAAAGAGTGTGGTTTTTTTTATGAATCAATCCATCTGTGGCTTGATCTTTCTCCTTTCCTCTGCCTTCAATTTCCCCCCAGCCTTATTGGGGGAATCGCATCATGTGCAGATAAAATATTGTCAGGGTGTGATCCCATGGTCTTGTATTTTAGACCACCTTTGGCGTGCTCCAGAGGGATCTATTTCCCAATGATCACATGACATACAAGGAAATGTGTCCTACCCCGTCCCCAGTCTGTCTCCAAGGGCTTCTACTTTTGGGGGTTGTGCTGGAGTGATTCCTCAGCAGACGGATCACTTTAAGGGCGGTGACTCCTTGCAAAGCAATACTTTCCAGTGCAGTCAGACATACACCTTTCCAGCTGTCTGACCACACCCTCAGTTCAGTTATTTCAGGTTCAAGAGATTAGATTTGCTCTGCACATTTATTTGTCTTTCTGGTGGGTCACTGTATCCATAGAACTCTCCTTTAGCTCCACACATCAAGTGAATAATTTTTTTCGATCAGCTTTCTCTATTCTCCAGTTTCCACATTATATACAGTAATGAAACATGCCATGGTATGGATAATCTTGGTCCTGGACTCCATCAACACATCTTTCCACATAAGGATCTTTTTAGTGCCTTCATAGCTGGCCTTCCAACACTGTCTTTTTCTGATTTCATGGCGTTGAGGATTGAACCAGGGTACACCCCATCTTCAACAATTTTGATTGACTCACAGTTGAAATTAAAGTAATTAATCTGTAGTCACGAATCATGATCTTTGTCTTCTTAATGATGTGGAGTTAGTTCTGCTTTCTTCTTTAACCATCAGTAGTTGCTTCAAGCCAATGCTATTTTCTGCCACTAATACGGCGTCATCCAGATATCTTAAATTACTGATGCTTCTGCCACTAATTTTCACTTCTCTTTTGGTCTGAATCAAGCCCTGCTTTCCATACGATGTATTGTGCATTTGAATTGAACAGACAGGGAGATAAAATATGTCCCCATCTAATATTTTTGCCCATTGGAAACCATTCTGTCTCTATTATTGTTGACTGTTAACTGCCCAGAATACTGCTATTATTCTAATATTTTTTGCCCATTGGAAACCATTCTGTCTCTGTTATTGTTGACTGTTTGTTAACTGCCCAGAATACTGCTATTATTCACTAATGAGATGGTCAGTCAGTCAGTCAGTCAGTCAATCAATCGATCGATCGATCGATCGATCAATCAATCTTAAAATAAGCCTTTATCCATACTATAGGTTATGCATCCAGACAATCAAATGTTCTGGCACATACCCCCTTTAAAAAAAAAAGAATGATTCATACAGAAGGTTAGCAAGAATAGAAATAAGGTTGGGGTTAAGATTAGGGTTTAATATACATGTCTAGTTCTTCTATTTTCTGAGTCCATTGAGATTTCAAATGTCCCCTCTGAATGGCATGCAATTGTTTTGTCTTAACACCTTACATTGGCTGTGTCAAAAAAATGTTGCAATGGCAGGAATAAATGTATCTGTGAAGACAATTCTGTTCCAGTTTTTTTTTCTCTGAAAACAAACCATTGTATGTAGCAAACAGTGGAAACTCAGGGACATTATTTACAACTCTCCAGGGGACAATGTCTTAGAATGCCTACTGTGCATTTGACAACAAAATGTAACTCAGGGGAATCTAACATTTCCTTGTGCATGAGAGTTAATGAGGGATATCATAATTCCTTTTGTGGTGTAAATTGCTTTTATAATTATTGCAGGAGGTGACATGATGAAGGAGGAATATTGTACTGTTGCCTTGGTACAGTGGTGGATTGTTGTGGGTCCATGGGGTGGATAAGAGAGCGCAATATATTTTGTACCTTACGCCATTGGTTTTATCATTGGAATTTTTTTAAAAAAATGTAATTAAAAATAATTATTTTACATACTCTTGAGACATATGAAATCAAAATGTTCACTTTAAACCTCTAACTGTAATGGTAACTTTCTTGGGGGTACTGGAACTATAACAGCACCTAATGACATTACATTCCACGCTCTGGACAAGAGGTATTGATATTGGGAGAAATCCATTAGGAAGTTGCAACTAGAGAAGGTCCATGGAATTAGTGGGGATTTGATGAGTCAACTTCTCCATAAATTCTAAGGATTCAAGAGGTCTACTTCAGCTGCAGTGTACTACAGTACTGGATTTCAGACATGGAGGTAGAGAAGGCCAAGGAGGTCAGCAAGGAATTCCTAGTTTAGAATGTAGACCAGAGGTATTGATATTGGGAGAAATCCATTAGGAAGTTGCAACTAGAGAAGGTCCATGGAATTAGTGGGGATTTGATGAGTCAACTTCTCCATAAATTCTAAGGATTCAAGAGGTCTACTTCAGCCGCAGTGTACTACAGTACTGGATTTCAGACATGGAGGTAGGTAGAGAAGGTCAAGGAGGTCGGCAAGGAATTCCTAGTTTAGAATGTAGACCAGTCATAGGTAGGTTATTCCAAATGAGGCATCATTGTTTTGATCTCCAATGGATATTGGCACACCCCACCTGAAGTGCCAGGCATTTGGAACGGGGGGGGGTGTTCCTGAGAACTATGCCCTGGCTGATCCCCCTAGGAGCAAGAAAGCAGTTGAAGTGGTTGTGCAGGGCCTGACAATGTCCTGTCAGCTGGGCCACTTGCAGGAGTGAGAAAGTTGCCAGAATAATGGCAGAAGTCCTCCCACTGTGACATTTTCACTGATGCTTGCGATGTGATGTCTTGAGACGGTCACCTTATCTAATGCGTGGGTCCGTCTGCTCTCTTTCCCTCCTTCCCTCCCTTTCACAGGGCCTCTTTTATTCCACCGATTTGCTTCTTGTTCGCCTATCTTTCGACAGCCCTCCATCATGACATAAAGCCATCGGTTACCAACATTTAGGAACACAGCCTTCCTCACCCCTCCTTAGGAAAAAGAGAAGGGGATTTCCCAAACTTCTTAGCAGCAAATACTTGAGACTAACACATAAGTAACAGAATTTTCTTTTATGTGGCAACCAAATTGGCCATTTAGAAAAATAAAAAACACAGCGGAAAATGGGGCGCCTTCTCCACTCTTTCCAATTGAAAACACAGATTCAGTTAAAAAAAACACAGTTTACACATTCACAGCTGAAAACAAATTTTTGTTCTACCATTAGTTTAACTCAATGGCCTTTGGTTTTGTCAGGAAATCAGATTTGTGATCAGGATATTCCATAAATTTGTTTTTTTTTTAAATTACAAGATTGTTATGAGATCTTTACATCAGACTTTTGGTGTTGGGGATTTAATTCATTATCTCTGTACCATTTTCCTAATCTAAGCTTCCTCATGCTTGTCTTTCTCCTGCGAGGGGAGAACATACTTGGTACCTATGTGGCATTCATCTGGTTTTCTCACAGGCAGGTAGAGGCTGGGCAGATTTAAACCAGGAGAAAGGCATAGGGAGAAATGGGTAAGTTTTCTCCATGCCCAATCCACAGTTGGGAACATTTGGGGTTCAGACAATGTCTCTTGGAATCCCACAGCCAAGATGGCAACCTGCCATGTTGGTTATACCATTCTGGAAGTTGCAGACCAAAACACAAATGTTTCCCATCTCCGCCCGATCCAAACTCTCTGTTCCAAAATTCTTCACTAACAAGTATTTGTAGCATGATTTCTGGCTCCCTCTAGTGGTAACACATGTGAAAATATTTTTTCTCGATTTTTAAAGATTTTCTAGATTTTTTCCTAGATTTTCTACATTTTTTCCTTTTAATATTTCCAGTATTTTCAAACAGTGGATAAGTGAAACCATGGATACTGATCTTGTGGATATGAGGGTCCTACTGTACACATCAACAACAATGGCAGCATGCTTGCATTCAGGCAGGTATTATCCTTCCCTAACTTGTCCAGACTTTCCTCCAGCAGTGTTATTGTTGGGGGAAGAGAGTGGAAATGAGATCAAGAACCCAGAGTGTTGGTTAAAGAGAACAGGCTGAGGAGAATCCAGAGGAGTGAAAGATGTGGAGGGCTGCTTTTGTCTCATGCACTGCAGGCTACTGAACACTAGATTTAGTTTGATTGTTTATTTATACACTCCCCCATTTTTCTACTAAAAGATACTGCTTAAGGTTTCTTCAAAGAATAAACTTCTTAAAAGAATCAAAACATACCTCAGGTGCTCTGCAGAAAACACAGGTTTTTACCTTGGCCTTTGGAGTTGGGTACCCACAAATGAAAAATGGGGAGAAGCAAGGACATGTGGCTCAGTAGTACAGTGGTGCCTCACTAGACAGTTACCCTGCATGACAGTTTTTTCACTAGACATTGACGTTTTGCGATCGCTATAGTGATTTGCAAAACAGTGATTCCTATGGGGGAATTTCACTGGACGATGTTTGGTCCCTGCTTCGCAAACCGATTTTCGCTAGACAACGATTTTGACAGCTCCCTCCACGCTCGCAAAACAGGTGTTTTCGGGACTAAGCTTCACAAGACATCGATTTAAACAGCTGATCGGCGGTTCACAAAGCGGCTTTCCTATGGCCGATCTTCGCTAGACAATGACGATTCTTCCCCATTGGAACGCATTAAACAGGTTTCAATGCATTCCAATGGAAAATGCTTTTCGCTAGACAATGATTTCAGTGGAACGGATTATCATCGTCTAGCGAGGCACCACTGTACCTAAGAGCCACACCAGGTCATAAATGCCAAGACAGGTTGAAGAAAGGCATGTCTAGACCAGCTTGGTGGTGGCTGCTCCATTTTGGCAAATGAGGCACTGCCCCATCACAGACCTAGAAGACTCTCCAGCCAGCCCACTCCGCCCTGCTTCCTTGCTAGACGAGAAAGGTCAGGAACTAATTTGCTTTCCCCATATGCTGAGTGTATGTGGGTGTGCCTGATTACCTGTGGGCTGGGGCGTGTGCATTAATACCCATTTTTAGCTTTGGCTCTTCTTGTTAGCCTTGGTTTGCCCCCTCCCTTTCCCTATGCTGTGCCCTCCTCTTCAACAAACACCATGGGCATCAGCCACTGCTAGTCCATCATCCTGTTTCTCACAGTGGCCAACCAGAGGCCTTTTGGAACTTGCTAGAAAAAGGTGAGGACAACAGTATGGTCCCACTTGTGTCCTACATCAACTATGTCCACAGAGGCAGGCCACCTCTGATACTGGAGGTAATGTTGTCACAACTAGAAGCCACTTAAAGGACTTGTCCTCTACGAGTATGGAGTTAGTACCTCATCTAATGGCTGTCTTGATGTTACCTTGGAACACCTTGCATTTATTGCCAAGCTCACTATGGAGAGAACCCTTAATGCAGTGGTGGAACACATATCTTGGATCCGGAAGGTCCAAAGTCTAATCCCAGCAGTCTCCTGTTTTTGTGTATGGGTTTTACATGTGTGCAGGTCTGTGGTCCAAGAAACAGGCAAGACAATGACCTGCATGTTTTGGAGTGTGGCTGCCAACTGATTTTGAATCACTATGTTGCTGGGCCAGGTAAACCAGTGAACTAACGTCAGCTTTTTAAAAAAATAGTCTGTGACGATGGACATCAAATACACCAAAACAGAAGATTATAGTAACGATCTCCTAGCATATATAACAGAGCAGTAGGAATAACTAACCAAATAGGTCAAGGAATGCTTAGCCTCTGTTGGTCTGGTATATTTAAGACTGTAATGATGAGATAGAAATATGAGAATTGTCTGGATTCACACACACCCCATAGTTCCCTCTGTTTCCCTAGGGGAATGTGGATCACCCTTTGATTATCCTTGGCATAAATCCACGAACAATCCGCGTCAGTTCACATGACTCAGAGGGACTAATGAATAGACAGTTCCGTCACTGGGTTTAGGAGCTGGTGAGCAGTGTCCGTTTTTCATATGGGAGGTATGAACAGAAGAGGATGTTTCTGTTCTGTATATCTGAGCATGCATTTCACAGCAGCCAAATTTGCTCAGGAGAATGAAAAAGTCCCTGCGGAAAGTCTTGGTAAAGATAGCGTACAGGAACGGGTTGGCGCAGGAGTTGATGGGGTAGAACAAAACGAGGAGGATTTTTGAGTTGGACACGGTGATGAGAGGGACCTTGACCGATGCTGAGATGGCAAAAAAGGAGATAGGCGCCATGCAGAGGAAATCCGTGAAGATCAAGATGGCCATGCGTTTGGCAATTTTGGTGTCGCTGTTGGATGAGAAGACATTGGGATTCCTCACGGTGAAGTAGATGCTGATGTAGCAAGTGCAGATGACAATAAAAGCCAGGATATTTAATACCAACAGAAACATGATATACGTCTGGGCAAGGGGTGTCTCTATATCCATGGGCAAGCAGATGCTAACTTTCATGTAGCTGCTGATTTTAAAAATGGGAAGGAGGGCCACGGTGAAGGCAAAGAGCCATCCCATGAGCATAATGACTACTGCATGTCGGAAGCGGACTTTGCGATCCAGTTCCATTGCGTACGTGATGGTGTGCCAACGCTCCAGAGTGATGACAGTCAGGGTGTATATCGAAAGTTCACTGGCAAAGACGGTGAAGAAGCCAGCTGTATTGCAACCGGCACCAGTTTGCCAGTCTATGGCATAGTTGTAATACTGGCTTCTGGTCTGCACGTCTTTGATGGCGATCAGCAACAAATAGATGCCTGTGCACAGGTCTGCAAATGCAAGATTACACATCAGAAATCGAGGAACAGTGAGCTTATACTGGCTGCTGACCAAAATTATGAAGACGACAAGGTTTCCTGTGATGGCGAGGATGTTGATGAACCATATGAGGACGCGGAGAATATTGTAACCCATGATGTCTTCACATGGATTGAAGGCATCGGGTTCAGGGAAGCACGTGACCCGAATTTCTTCTCTACACAGGGCGTTATAGTAATCATCTTCATCCAGGTCAAATTCTAGCCCATCGGGGTCTTCTGTCACTGAGGATTTGTTGCATATGGGATGTAACATGGCACTGGAAGGGGAAAAACATATTACAATTAAAACCCTGGGGAAAAATGAGAAGGAAAAAAAAAAGGTTGATTGCATGATAGTGATGACACTGTGATTTTTTGTTTTAATGACAGGGCTGCACCTATAAGCAGTTAGGATCAATTAAAGGTGTTGGTAGTGGAGGCTCAACTATTTGAAGAAGCACCAACTCACCTATTAACTCTGATCTTTCTTAAAATAATATATTGGGGACTTTCTCTTTGTATCTCTTTTGCCAGAAGTACAGAGGTCATCTACAAATGGGGATGGCTTTCTCAGCCATTGTACTCCAACTTTGTAAATTTGTCCCCCCAAAAGGGGATGTACCAGTATTATTACTGTTTATTTGTCAACAAAAACTTTTTGCTTTACACAAGTGTTTAAATGTAAACAGAGCATATTTTCATCTTTTTTACATTTTTAATCCGCTGTTTCTTGGTACGTATTTTACTTTTTATACTTGTGCTATGTTGAAATCTGCTATGATGAATGGTAGCATAAGATGATTAATTTTATTAATTTTATATTTATCATAAACGACTTACTCTTGGTAACTTCAGGATGATGTAATGTCATACAATTTATGTGAGATTGCCTTGGAGACTGTTAGGAAATGTTAGTCTATGGTCAAATTGATTGGATGGTTAATGTCTTGAGCAGACAGTTAACAGAGCTAGGATTAACAAGAGAAAAAATTTGATCAGATCTTGGAACAGTTTCTTTTTGGATTACAGGAATCCATCTGATAGAGTAAGAGATTCTGGATCTTGTAGTCTGAAAAAGTAACCTGTCCATGCTTTGCATATCATTCTTCTTCTTGTAGAAATGCAAAACCTCCTAGTTATATTTCTGAGCGCCATTTCTGAACCTAAGAAATGAGAAGTTGTCGAGGTTTGGAATTTTATTTTGTATAGAGGATTACTAATTAACAGGGGGGGGGTATATAAAAAATAGCCCTGAAAATGATAGTGCTTTTAAAATTGAGGCTGGAATAATAGTTTACTATAATCATTTCAAAACAACTTGGCTCTCCAACCTGCAAGGTCACTGAACAATAATTGTCTTGAGAGGTGAACATATTTATGTCATAATGACCTTGGTTACGTTACCATGTGTAAGCATGACACAGCATTTGTAAGTCCTTTAGGGAACTCTTTCAGTGATTATAATATTTTGAGTTCACAATAGTCTAGCATTTCAGGATTTCTGGGTGATAGTATCCTAGCACATCAAATGCTTCATGGTACAGAACATTATTATTCTAAACTCTGAAAGAATTATTTTAGATTAGGCATCCTTCAGTCTTGAGAGACTATGGTAACATGCTCTGTAAGGAGGACTTGGAACAGCGTCTAGTGTGGCTGAGAAGGCCAATTTGAGAGTGACAATCCCTTCCACACTAAAGACAAATACAATCTGTCCCCTGACCAGCTCCCTGATTTTGCTGCTTTCGTGACTGCCTCTTTGCCTCAGCCTACTGGACAAGTATTTCTTCAAAATGGGAGATTGCATGATGCCTCCAGGCTAAATGCTCAGATGTCAAGGTTTCCCATCTGTTGAGGCCCATTCCTAAGGCCTTCAGATCCCGCTTGCGGATATCCTTGTATTGCAGCTGTGGTCTCCCTCTGGGGCGATTTCCCTGCACTAATTCTCCATACAGGAGATCTTTTGAAATCCGACCACCAGCCATTCTCATGACATGCCCAAGCCAACGTAGACATCGCTGTTTCAGTAATGTATACATGCTAAAAAACTGAGCTTGTTCTAGGACTACTTTATTTGAAACTTCGGCCTGCCAGGTGATACCAAAAATGCATTGGAGACAAAGCATAGGAAACATGTTCAGTTTCCTCTTCTGCCATGCACAAAGGGTCCAGGACTCACTGCAGTACAGGAGTGTACTCAGGACACCGGCTCTATAGACCTGGATCTTGGTATATGTCGTCAGCTTCTTATTAAGCCACACTCTCTTTGTGAGTCTAGAGAATGTGGTAGCTGCTTTGCCAATATGTTTATCCAGCTCGACATCTAGGGCGATGCAATAATTATAGGCATAACAATAACATAGTGGCAGGTTGCCAAATGTTAAGTAACAAAGGCAGGAGTTACAAAGGCTCCAGAAACAATTGGAGCTCCTATTGAAAAATTATTCTTGGGATACCAGGCTTTTGGATTTGTGGGCCCCTGGAAAAGAGATTGGGGGAGGTATGGACAATGAATTAATTAGAACTATAGGAAAATAAGACACAAACACAGGCAAATTGGGAATTCAGGAATTCATCCCACCATCTTAACTCTATGTAACTTTGGAGTGACAACAATCATGTACTGTAGCAGTGTGGCAGCTTCCCCCCCAAAAACCTGGCAACAAAATCAACATAGGTTTTACTCCATAAATTTGAATTGGTTTGGCTGGGTGAGCATTTAGAATTATTTTGTGTGTTCTTAGTATGTTTAGAGGATAAGGAAATCACACTTTAAAAAGTGACAGCACTTTAAAAAAGTTTCAAAGCATTGTTTATATTTTAGCAACAATTAAAAACAAATACATGACATTGTCCCTGCCCTGCCCGCCAAATGAGAGCAATTAACAGTAGCAGATTAGTGAATTGAACAGCCACCCAAATCACCCGGTTACAGTTTTCCCGACTAAGTGAGATGTATAACAACAACAGTTACACGTCTCATGAAGTCACTTTCAAATTATGGAGATCCTTTGGATCTTCTAGGTATCTAATAGTAAGAAGTAGTTTACCAATCCCTTCTTCTAATGGTGATCTGGGACTGTTGTGCAGCTTGCCCAAGGCTACGTCAGCTGGCTCTCCTCCCTGCAGGCATAGCAGGGAATCAAACTCTCAACCACCAGCCAGATATCTAACTGACTGGGCTATCCAGCCAACGAAATGTGGTATAGTTTTATTTAAATTCTAAAACCCATCGCTGACAGTTGAATCTGTATATACAAATTACCATGTACAAGTTTAAACAAACTGAGGGCTTCTTTGCCCTCTTCTGTTTTGTGTATGTCCAGCCAACTACAGGTGGAGGCAGAACGCCTGTACAGGCCTATTTCAGGTGCTTGCTTGAGGAAGGGGAGCTGAGACCAGATCAGTTGGCAACATGGCTGGGGTTGCAGGAAGAGCAGAAGCATTTTTCTTTATGCTGTTTCTGTATTAATTACACTTCCCTATCCACTTCCTGCCACAACTAGTCATGCATAACTATCCTGACTCTCCAGTATTTATGATTCCAAGTGAGATTGTACTTTATTGTCTTGAATTGAGCAGAGGAACTACAACCAAGGGGTGGCAACCTCTTTCAGCCTGAGGACAGCCTTCCATTTCACAGACGTTCCTACGGGCCATATTCCACAGGTGGATGGAGCCAGAGGCAAAAAAGAGTTTGATCAAATAGCATAACATGTATTCACTTACATCTTTTACAACTTGTAACTAAGCCAAGTAACTGCAAGAAGATTGGGACAACTATGAAGCAACTAGAAGAGATCAAGTTTAAGGATGTCTCACTGGAACCCTTACCCAAGATCATCCATACTATTGTATTCCTGAAAACATACAAGAAAAAAAAATTCATTTGAAATACAGTGCTGGAGGAGAGCTTTGCGGATACCCTGGACCTCCAGATAGAGAAACAAATGGGTCCTAGATCAAATTAAGGCTTCATAAAACTGCCTTGAGTTTGCAAGAGCTGAGCAGGGTTATTAAGGACAGGCAGTTTCGGAGGTAACTCATTCATAGGGTTGCTTTGAGTTGGAAGCAACTTCAGGGCACATAACAACAACAGGGACCTCTTGCTGATCCAAGGGGAAGAGTAACAAAAGAGTAACAAAACGAGTTACTCTTCAGAAGTTTTGAGCTCTAGTTAAAATAAGATAAAATATCTCAACATCATTTTCCCCCCTGTTGGTTTGGGGTCCTTTTAAAGACTTTCAGGCTATTTTCAGGCAGGTAGCTCAAAGCGTTCGTCTTTCTCTCCACATCTGAAATTTTCTGAGGGGGTGTCATGGAATAATATATGACCAAGCTGAGCAACATCAGGAGGGAGACAGAGTTTTATTCCCCCCCCCAAAGGAGTTGCTTTTGAAGGCGGTGAAAACATTTTCTCCCTTCTTCTCCCTTTCTGCAGAAGGAGAGAAGAAAGCTCCCTGCTCACACTTTCCACATCATAGAGTGCCTTCAAAATAGTTTTCGTACTTCCTTTTATTTCCCTGTGTTTTTTTTAAAAAATTGCAAGTCACCTCAAGCTGGTTTATGAGGGGAAAAGGAAGGCATCATCATCATTGACAGTTGCCCCCCTCCCCTTCAGCAATCTTCTTCTTGGGTGTATGGACTGCTATGAACACCTGCCCCCCCCCTCTATATCTGCCTTTGGAGCTCCATGGGCTAGAAGATCGCATTACTGTACATTTGCAGCCTCCCAAAATCCCCTGGCTGGGAAACTCTGGGACCTTTAATCTGAAAAAGATAAATCTTCCCAGGTCTGTCCTCTCTCCCTCCTTCTCTGTACTCCATTCGCTTTTTTTTGGATCACTCTCATTTATATATATATATAAAGATTCCAAAGAGAATTCAGTTCATCATGAAGTATCTTAGTCTGTTCCAGTCTCTAAATAAATGCAGACCAATTTCCATTGGTTTCTCTAGGTTGTATTAAAACATCAGCAACACATTTCTTATTTATGTGAATTTATTGCCTTTGACTATACTGGGCTTTTGGGATTTTTTTTATTTATTTTTTTACTAATCCTAGAGGTTTTGGTATATATATAAAATTTAATTTTTTTTCTGCTCTGTTGTCATGGTCTTTTTCGCCAGTAACAGAGGAGAGAGATTTCCATGGAGAGAAGAAAGAGTGTAATTACACTTTAAAAGGCCCTTTAAAGGATACATTCAAGACCATCATCAACGTCATCACTATGACCATCACCACCATCAGCACTACTAACACATTAAGGTGATGATGATGAATACTCATTGAATACTCTTCAAATATCACCACAATACTTTACCCTATCTCCTGTATAGCTGCTTTATTTGAAGTATACTCTTGAAATTCCTTCGGATAAACTATTTTATATCTCATAATAAGCTGTACCAATGTTCTCCATATAGGAGAAAGATATTATATTTTTACAGCATTTGCAAAAGGGACATGGCTTGGCTACTCATATTTGGTATATATACCATAGGGAAAGACAGGACAGGCTATTTCCAGTCTATTTCAATTATATATCTGTTCATTCAGAAGCTCATTTTGTCTCTTTTTCACACTAATTTGTGATAGAAATGCCAACAAACAAACACATCGAAAACAAAACAAAACAAAACAAAACACAACATAGTTATGCAAATACTTAATATCCATTTCTAAACCTAGTGGACCCAGTTTTTCAAGCAGAGTTTGCTGGCTGGGATCTTATGGCACTGGGCATGGCGCAACATTATGCCTCCAGAAGCTCACAGGGAATAGTGTGTAGGCAGTCGTCATTGCATGCCATTGTGCAACATATCTGCAGAACTGTTTGCAGGATATGACTCTGGCCTTGGTGTGAATTTCACAGCCCTTTCTGCAATGTTGAATTATGCAGGCATATCTATACAGCAGGACTGTGGTTGTTACTTTGTTTGAGCTCAGACAAGTACTGTGAAATTCAGCAATGTATTAAACCTGAAAGAGGCTTACAATCTGAACAGCACATCAGTAGGGAAGTGTGAATGAGAAGAATTCTCAATGTCTGAATTCCTTAACCATTCCTAAAATAGTTATCCAGGTCAATACCCACTTTGATATAAGCAGCCCAATACAGAGGACTTTTGATGCCTCACCCCACAACATGTTGCTGAGGGCTTGTCCAAACAGAGCACTCATTTATGTAAATGTTCTGGTAGTTTCAGCGTTTACTTCACTATCCATAAAACGCATTCAGTGAGGATCAGTGCCTTTTCCCATACATTTCCACATCTTTCCCCTACATGCTTAATTTTGTGCCAGGCTTTGTATGGGGGTGGGTGGAAGAGTTTAGCATGATGCTTTTCCCCCCAGTGAAGTTGATTTCTGAATAAATGGAAACCTATTAATTGTCACAGAAACATGTATTTGGGACCCTGATGTGGAGGGAAGAGACTGCTCCATATTTTTTTTGGCCTTTTTATCACTTTTGAGAATTGTGGGTTTGAAAATTCCACACTGAGGCTTCTCAACTTGCCAAGACTGCCAAACAAATGGCAACGAGGACATTTTTGGTCTTCTTCACATGCAGTGTGAAAGTGCCTGGACACAGACACAGTGCCAAGAGGCTAGGAAAATACCTAAACAATTCACACAGATATCTGTGACTTCTGGTTAGATGAGGGACTACCAGCTGATATCTAGTCGATTATCTGTTGTTTGATGGGATAAATGAACAAAATAAAATTTAAAACGTTCCAAAGCACTTTTAAAGCAGGAATGTTCAGACTTATTGAAACAAATTGGTTTATCGTTAAACATTAAGAGATCATGAGAACTCACTCTGGTTTTGCAAATTTCAGACACAAGGGTGAGCTATGGGTGGTTCTCATCGAGAAAAACAGAAGTAGATGACATGAGACTGCAGGCAGGCCATTGCTGCTGTGAAACATTCAACAGCAAAGCAGTTAAAAGCATCGTCAGCTACACAAACCAACAGAGCTGAAGGGTTAATTACACCAATCAATGCTCAAGTCTCAAAGAATACTTGAAAAGAGGAATATAAATGAGGAGGACCCTTGATGCTGAAAGACCTGGTGTTCTCCCACTGATAGCAAATCATTTGCAAGGAAGCCTGATTTAAGAGGCTGAGAAGACCCCATGATTAGCTCCGGTGAAGCTCCACGGGAGGTTATGCTGTTGAAGCTTTCTGGAAATTAGAGATGTGAGTGCACACAGTGGATACATTCATTTAATTATGCCCATTCCTGGCCTTTCCGAGACCAATCCTAATGCCTAAGGTTCTTTCCCTCTTCCTGTTTCCTGAAGTGACAGGAAGTTACAGAAGCAACTTTTTATAGTGTCAATTATTTTTTGTAGAATGATGTGATAGATAGATAGATAGATAGATAGATAGATAGATAGATAGATAGATAGATAGATAGATAGATAGATAGATAGATAGATAGATAGATAGATAGATAGATGAATGAATGAATGAACGAACACATGGATGGACGGATGGACGGATGGATGGATGGATGGATGGATGGATGGATGGATGGATGGATGAAATAAACAGACATTATTCCCCCAGAAAGGAAAAATATGCCTGTTTTCCATCCAAGGTCTACTTCTTCAGTCAGTTGAAAACTCAACTTCTTTCTTTTTTGCTAGTGCTATTAAAAACAGCCCAGCTATTTCCCAAATAGGTGAGATCCGTCCAGTATCTAGTAGCCATGGGACACCAAACTGAGAAGGCCCTTGTTGCCAATATATTACAATAGCTGAGTGATAAATAAATAAGCAAGCAAAACTGCTTTGTTCATTTATCCACATTTCTGCCTTCTCTTTCTACCAAATAAAACAGTGTAAATGACGTCGCTAAAAATGAATGAAGCAATAAAACCATCCAAATTGCCCGCTAAAAACAAAGCTGTGTACCCTGTATGATCCCTTGCCTCAAGTAACATGTAGACTCTGTTGCAAAACTATTAAAATGAATAAAACATCAAAAGTGTTTAAGAGCAGTCTGGGAATATGTGTCTTCACATCATTCCTAAAAGGAGTGAGAGTGGAAAGTAATCCTAATTTTAAAGGAAGTTTGTTTGTTTGTTTGTTTAAAGTAGTTTTACCCCCACCTTTCTCCTTAAGGAAAACCCATGGTGGCTGACATAATTTAAAGACAACATTAAAAGCCAAATACAGTAAGTGTGCAAATACTAAAAAGGATCAAACAGACGCCACCACTAAAAGACAGTAAACAAAAGCCACACCAAAAAATGTATTCAAAGCAGTGAACCACAACAATCTATTTAAAAACCCCACTCAGGCAACTAGTCATTCAGGGAAAGCTTGCCTGAAGAGAAAGGCCATCACCTGCTTGTGGAAGGACAGCAAAGATAGGGCCAGCCTGGCCTCCAGTGGGAGGGAGTTCCAGAGTCATGGAACAGCAACAGAGAAGGCCCTCTCCAGTGTACCCTCCAAACGCATCTGTGAAGGTTGTGGGACTAAGAGAACAGCCTCTCTTGGTGATCTTAACAGTCTGACAGGCTCACAAAAGGGGACACAGTTGTTGAGATGGCTTGGGCCCAATCTGTTTAGGGCTTGATAGGTTGAAACCAGCACTTTGAATTCTGCCCGGAAACTGATTGGCAGCCAGTAGAGCTGCTGTTATGTGATCCATGGGATCAACCTCAGTTAACAATCTGGTAGCTGCGTTTAACTTCACAACCTCTAAGCAATAAGCTAGATGTTGGTTTTCAAGATGGCCTCTCCCAAGGAAGTCGACATCTAAGTGGTTTTGTAGACCGGAGACCCCGCGGGCAGCCACGTTGCAAGCTATTTAAGGCATTAAGACTGAAATCCAACCTTTTGAGTTGGGGCTGAGATACAATAGATAACCAGTGCATGTCTTTCAGTATTGGAGCAAGGTGAGCTGAACACCGTGCACCAGTTGGTAGTCTAGCTGTCTATGCACGATTTTTGCTGCTGAGTCCAGGGATGGTGGAAACCTGGAGGCTTAGAAGAGGTTTCATGGGCTGGTTGCCCTGTCTGATCTTTAGCTGACACATAGACTGATGAGCCCCAAAAGGCAAGAAGGGAGCCAAGCTAGCCAAGAAGAGAGAGAAGGAAACACTTAAGGCAGTGGTTTCCAACCTTGGGTAACCCAGGTGTTCTTGGACTGCAACTCCCAGAATCCTTCACCACTTGCTGTGATTATTTCCCAATCTGAAAATGAGCAAGTTTGACACACAGGTATGTCCCAGATCTTCTGCTGTTGTCCACCCTTGCTGTGATAATTTCCCAATCTGAAAATGGGCAAGTGTGACACACAGGCATGTCCCAGATCTTCTGCTGTTGTCCACCCCAGGTTAAAACATATCTTGGCTACTCCCACAACTATTTCTGGGAGTTTGTATGTACTATTGCAGCTCCCCAATATAAGGCCAGAAAGCAGTGAAATTTTCCCTAGGCTCCAGCTTCCCCTTCACAAACAGGTATAACTTCACAAGTCAACTAATGGCTACAGTTGACTGTAATAACCTCCTGGCCAGAGCATTGATAGGCCTGTAAACTCACCAAGAAAAGGAACCTAGAAGCTATCTCACACAGCGCTGACAATGGCATTCTCTTTCGTATGGCAGGCCACTGAGATCGGACAGAAGTCATACCAGACAAATCAAGGCAAATTTTGGCATTTACACAGAATTGGAACCTTAAAGCAACTGGAATGACTTACTTTTGCTTGGTCCTATTTGCAAACGCACAGCAGTGGCTCGGATAGGTGAGGTTTGCCTCGATCAAGGCACGGAACTTGTCCAAAGGAGGCAGCTTCTTTAAATTGTAGGTTGATCTTGCGACCAGCTTGTTAATGTTCTCCAATCCAATGCTGGGCAGCTGACTGATCTGTGTCTCAGATATATCCCTTGGAGAAGAACAGTGAGCATGTTAGATCCTAAGCAATGCCATCAACTGCATGTCTGGACTGATGAACGGGCGTCAACATGCCACTGCAACAAATGCACATGCTTGAAAAGTGGATGCAAGAATACGCACACATTTTAAGCGTGCAGAACACTGCTTTAAAACATGTTAATCAATGAAGGGGATAGATTCCTGCAGCACACATGATTTAAAACATTTTGTGTTCCTTTGTGGGGGGAAATAATCAAAAAAAAGTAATGGATCTCATCCTATTTAAAAACAATCAATAGAAGTGGGAACAAACGGGTCATGGAGGAGGAAAAGATTATGGACACAGACTTTACAGACAAGCACATTCTTAGTGAGAATTTTTTTAAAAAACAGAACCAATTGGTGGTTTGTCCTGGTTAATTTAGCAATGCAACAGGTGTTCCATGGTTCAGCACCTACCCTACTGGTGCCCGCTGGGTACTGCCTATGAATGGGTGTCCACTGGAGAGGGTAGGGCGTTGAACCATGGAATGCTTGTTGGGGAAGTAAACAAACTGGGACGAATCGCCGAACTGGTGGTTCATGCCCATCTCTAGAACCAACATTGCATGCTTTCTTGTGTGCAAGTTGCTATCTACATTTCATTTGTTCCTGTCTTATCCTTATGTCGGTCCTGTTGAGATGAATACATATTTTCTCATCCGCCCATTCTGAACCTTATTGTGCAATACTAGGAGATTAACAGCCAAAACTCTGGTTGTCAGGTGGGCTTGAATCAAAGACTCCAGCAGCTGTGGCTCACACTATAAGCCTTGGATTCTCAGAAGACCAGATGGACCCATTAGGTCAGTGGTTGCCAATTCTGGGTAATCCAGATGTTCTTGGACTGCATTTCCTAGAAGCTTTCACCACCAGCTGTGCTGGCAGCAAAATGCCATTCATTAGTGAGGTGCTGGTTGTCTTTTGTGCACTGGAACACAATCAGCACCTCATTAATGAATATCAATTTGCTGCCAAGACTTCACATGATTTCCCACAAGCAGATGCAGATTGCCAACAGGGCACTCCCTATTTTTGTGCAGACAAAAATAACCCTGAGAAGCAGTTTGAGGGATTTGAGCCCAGTTCTCCCAAATCCTGATCAAACCATTACAGTACGTACACTGTTTCTTTGACTTGAGAATGTCAGGGCAGTTAACATGCAAAAGAGCTATTTCTTTCCAAGAAGAAAAAGAAGGGGGTGGGGGGAAAGAAAAGACCTGTCAAAGAGGAGTAGATTATTTATCTGGATCATGTAGAAGCAAAAGAAAGTGATAAGTTCTTCTAGCATTAGCACCTGGGAATTGACACTCCTTCTTTTTCTCTGTGGATCACTGTAGTTGAAAGGCTAAAATAAATGGATACAAATCAACGCGTGAAGAAAATGTCACGGAGGATGGATTGGCATTTGGTCTTCATTTTGCCTGAGTAGTTTGAAGGGGAGGAGACATCAAAAAGAGTGAGGGTTGAATCATGAACCAAGCTGATCAACTGGGGAAGGCTGGGTGAAGCAGGAGGCTGCAGATCAAAGAGAATAAAACTCCACAGCATGTGTTCGTTGCAGCGATTCGACAATTAGAATCGGGTAAGTAAAGCAGCAAACGCAGCATGAAAAACATGACAGCTTTGAAGGAACGGGAGGTCGAAAGCTCTGCCTTTAAGGCTGGATGTAGCAGCTTCAAGAATTTGGGCCAGGAATGTGGACAGATATCCAAGAAATAACACCTAGGGGGAAATGTTGTCTTTAATCAGACTGCAATTACTAGAATCACCCAGAATCTGACTTCCAAAATCTCCAGAAAGCCAAGAATACTCAGAGTTGCTTAAAAAAAACACCAGTTACTTTCCCAAGCTTTGGGTCCAGTGAGGAATTTAGTTTTAGATCAAGCTAGCTGCACAGCACTGCTTTAAAAATAGACCTTTTGGTACTACAACTCACAGAATCCCCAAATAGGCATGATCAACTAGGGCAGTGGTTCTTAACCTTTGTTACTCGGATGTTTTTGAACTGCAACTCCCAGAAACCCCAGCCAGCACAGTTGGTGGGAGTTGCAGTCCAAAACTCCTGAGTAACCCAAGGTGTAGGCATGATCAACTAGGGGATTCTAGGAGCTGAAGTCCAAAAAACGTACCTTCCCTGCTACAGTCTGGGCTGTAAGTGGCCATTTGGCAGGGTGAAGTGAAGCAAATTTTAAGTTATCATGAAATGGTACCATGAAGTTTTGAAACTCTAGTGGGCATTAGGGGAAATGCCATTTGAATTTGCAATCAGAGGCAGCCACGTGGTACGGAACATCACAGATACAGGCAGATCCAACCATCTGTCAGATCTGCTTTGATTTGGATTCCTGCAATGAGTAGGGGATTGGACTCAATGGCCTTACAGGTCTCTTCCAACTCAATTATTCTATTATTCTATGTTCCAGAAAACCTGGAAGGTCCTCAGGCTTAGACAGAGGGGAATCCTCAGTGCCAATTTGAGAATCACTGTAATTCTGTCTTTAGGAGAGCATTGCTGGATGAGTTCTACCTTACCTGTCATTTTGGTTCCCACAGTGGCCAAATGGGAGTTGGTTATTTGAACCTATCACAGAAACCGGGTAATCCAGACAGGATGTTAGGGCAGTGACCTGCCTCAATGATGCTCCAGCACCAGCTACTAACATTCAGTAGCAAAGAGCTAGGTAGGCAAGGATGGACAACTGTGATCTTCCAGATGTTTCGGGCCTACAACTGTTAGAACTCATAAAATCATCATGTCATAGAATAATTGAGTTGGAAGGGGCCAACAAAGCTACTGAGTCCAAACCAGTATTGGTGCATTCACCTTCTCCCAAGAAAATTGGTCCCATCGTTGTACTGCTTTAACGGTTAAGAAGTTTTTGTCTTGCTCACTAATTTTCATTCCCCTCTCTTGACTGTTTGCTGAAGTTCTGCCACACTGACCTTTGACCATCGGAAATTGGCCAGTGATTAATTAGTCCTTAGGAGACAGAAAATAGCTAATATTTCAATTTTAGAGAAACGTACAGTGGTGCCTCGCTTAACGGGTGCCCTGTTTAACGATGAAATCGCATAGCAACAAAGATTTTGCGATCGCTTTTGCAATCGCATTGCGATGTTTTAAATAGGGAAAAATCGCTTTCGATGATCGGCACCCTGTTTTGCTTACCAATCATCGCAAAGCGATGATTTTTTAACAGCTGATCGGCGGTTCCAAAATGGCCGCTGGGTAAAAAAAATGGCCCCCGCTGTTTTCTGGGACGGATTCCTCTCTTACTGGGCAGCGAAAATGGCCGCCGTATGGAGGATTTTCGTTTAAAGGTGAGTCTGAAGCCCATAGGAACGCATTGAAGGGGGTTTCAATGCATTCCCATGGGCTTTTTTTGTCAAGGAAAATTACAGGCCTGAGCAAAATGGAGTACTGTATATTAATGAGAATCCATAATGATCAGGTATGTTAAAGCTGAGTCAGGATGACTCAGCAGTGCTGATGCAACTCATGGATGATGCAACTCGGGGATGATGCAATGTGTGATCTGATTGGTCCTGTATATTTATATATGTGTGAATTGTACAGTCAGTTGTATCTTCTTCCTGCTTGAAGATCACTTCTACATGTTATGCTGCCAGACTGCTGTAAATACTGATGTAAATACACGTTGCTGAAGGAAATGCTGCTGGACTGTGTGTGAGTTATTTCTGGACTGCCTGGACCATGAATTACTCTGCTAAAACCGCGATTTGCATTAAGAAACACTGACATTTTTTAAATTGCATAGCGCCGAAATCGCTTTGCAGTGATTTTTGCTGCACCAATTATCGTCGCTATGCAAGGCACCACTGTATATGGAGCTATCTGTTATTTTTGTAAGCATAAGATTAGGGAGTGATAAATTAATAAAACAAGAAACAAAGAAATACTGGCCAGAATCCTACTGGCACTTTACACCTGCATAAGAGAAATTGTGTAAGTCTTGGTAGCAAACTGACACTCATTAATGAGGCGCCCGTTGTGTTCCTCTGCCCTCAGCATCCCTACACAGTATTGATTAGGAATGATAGGAGAAGAAGGCTAAAAACATGTCAATGCCTGCCTAGGGGACCAAGAGTTAAGCAGCCACAAATACTCGGCATAGCTGTTGCTGATCTCTCTTTGCTAGAGATGTGCAGTTGTCTGCCAGCTTGGTTCACACCTGAAGGAGGGCACAGAAATAGCTGCCTGCCTGGTGGCCCTTTTAGTGACAATCCAACCCAGTCCTTGTCTGTGTCCCTCATAATATTTTTATTCCCTGGATTGCCATAAAAACTCCCTGTCCTGCAGATGGGGAAATGCAAAGGCTTATGAATGATGGAGGAAGCTATACAGTGGAAATGGTAGAAAGACGTCACTTCTGCCCACAGATAGTGCTCTAGAAGATAATATACAAAGGCCAGCAAGAGGTGGGGTTTGTAGTAACATGAGGGAGAAGCAGGGAAAAGCAATGCATGGGGAGGAACATTTACCCCAGAGGTAAAATGTTCAGTAAACTGAGCTGGATAAGAAAGGGGAAAAAAAGGAAATTGTAGAACAGTGATTCCCAGCCTTCGTTTACCCAGGTGTCCTTGGACTACAAATTCCAGAAGCCTTCACCACCAACAGTGCCGGCCAGGGCTTCCGGGAGTTGCACTTCAAGAACATGAGAGTCACCACAAGAAGATCTTATTGAAAAGATACGGGAAATAGCCGAAATGGACATTTTATCAGAAGTCATGAAGGACTATCCCTTGCAAAAGGCAACAGAAAGATGGGATCTATTTAACAAGTGGACAGAATCAACAGGCAGCTTGTGAACAGTACATATTAAAAGGAGAACTGAATCTAGAAGGCAGAAAAGAGTAAACAGAATAATTTAAAATCTTGATATGGCAATAGGTACAGAATGGATGAAAGTATGTTATTGTCTCCCCTCTTCCTCATCAATCCCAATTCCCTTTTCCTTTCTGTTATCCCTTATAAAAAATAAAAAGCACACACACACAAAAAAGAACATGAGAGTCACCCAAGTTTGGGAACCACTGTTTGGGAACCACTTTGTTACTCGGATGCTTTTGAACTGCAACTCCCAGAAACCCCAGTCAGGACAGCTGGTAGTGAAGGCTTCTGGGGGTTGCAGTCCAAAACTCCTGAGTAACCCAAGGTTAAGAACCAGTGTTCTAGAACATGACAATGACACAAGTCTCTCACTCATTGGCTGTAGTCCTCAAGGCTTTATTGGAGGGTTCAGCGGGTCATTCGGTTTCTTCCTCAGTGACAGCAGCCTAGTCTCTGCTGTTTCAATCTCTTCAGTTCACATTGCTCGAGATCTTTGGGTAAACCTCTTTTAACCCTATGAATGCTGGGAGGGACATCATTGATCCATGGGGGTACGCTTTGCCTTGTGGGCAAACAGTGGCTTTTTGATGTGCCCTGTAGTCACCCCAAAAGCTTAAAATCATCATCATCAACAACACCACCTCCTGATTTGGTTCCCTGTTGCACATTGGTCCGAACACCATAAATATCCCTACTTTGTATACATCGGGGTGGGCACATGGGGGGGGGGTTGTGAGGAAGAAAAGTGAAGAAAGAAAACAACAAACAAATTTCCCACGGTGCCAATCCCTCGTTTCTATGATAGATGTGAATAACCAACTCAAATAAATGCATAAATAATGCTGAGAGATGTTCTCTGGGGGAAAAAAAAACACATTTTCCCCATCTTTGTCACTGGAAGAAAGAGGTGCTTGTTTGTTTGCTTGCTCACTCGCTTGTTTTACACAGGCATTATCGAAATATGCCATTTTGCATACTCCCATCAACCAGACTTTGTACAGTTCAGTAAGATAAGCAATCGAGCAATCTTCTCATTATGTTACCAGACTTTTAGGTTTTATCCCACATTCACATGTAGCAGCACTTGCTTCATCCAGAGTTCGGTGTTTCCGTGGAAGCAAAAGGACCCCCAGTTCTCACAGTATTGCTAACCTTAGCTAAATCACCACTTTTTTTGCACCCGTTTTCTCTCTTCCTGAGAATGTTTATGGGCTCCATTCCCTCTCACACAGGACATCAACTCTGCTTTATCCGTGATTTTCATATTTAGATCCTGCAGCTTCTTTGTAGCAGAACAAGCAATAAACATTTCTTTGTGGTGTTGGGGGTGGGGGTGAACCCACATCGTTTCTGTGGTGAAAAGTTAACAGGATGTCTTTGTAAATGGGAGCCAAAACACAATCACATTCTGATAGTTTATCAAATTGATTTCACTGCAGTTCAGATTCCTCCGGTAGTTCAAATTCAAAGACTGAGTTATTTTTTATGAGAATTATTCTGTTCTATTACACCATTCTGCAGATGGTAAATTGCCTTTCTTTTATCCTGGCCAAGATCATGAAAGAGAGTTCCTTTCGGCATCTGTCACCAGAGTATACACCCAAAAGTATTTTCACTTACAGAAATGATTGACCTGTAATAACGTCTTTGCTTGACAAGAAACAGAATCGCCTGAATCAATTCTGTTTCCACACTTCTTTTCCTCTTTTTCTTTTTCTTTCTTTCTTCGCCTTTTCTTCTTTTTGTAACAGAGAGAGTTATTAATCAAACAGTACAGTAGGTTCCTCATGGAGAAAGGCAGAGAGTTCCGGAAAAACATCTACTTCTGCTTCAATGACTATGCAAAAGCCTTTGACTGTGTGGACCACAACAAACTATGGCAAGTCCTTAAAGAAATGTGGTGCCTAACCACCTTATATATCTCCTGAGAAATCTATATGTGGGACAGGAAGCAACAGTTAGAACTGGAAATGGAACAACTGATTGGTTCAAAATTGGGAAAGGAGTATGACAAGGCTGTATATTGTTCCCCAGCTTATTTAACTTATATGCAGAATACATCATGCGAAATGCCGGACTGGATGAATCCCAAGCTAGAATTAAGATTGCCGGAAGAAATATCAACAACCTCAAATATGCAGATGATACCACTCTGATGGCAGAAAGTGAGGAGGAATTAACCTCTTAATGAGGGTGAAAGAAGAGAGCGCAAAAAATTGTCTGAAGCTGAATATCAAAAAAACTAAGATCATGGCCATTGGTCCCATCACCTCTGGCAAAGAGAAGGGGAAGATATGGAGGCAGTGACAGATTTTACTTTCTTGGGCTCCATGATCACTGCAGATGGTGACAGCAGCCATGAAATTAGAAGATGTCTGCTTCTTGGGAGGAAAGCGATGACAAACCTCGACAGCATCTTAAAAAGCAGAGACATCACCTTGCCGACAAAGGTCCACGTAGTCAAAGCTATGGTTTTTCCAGTAGCGATATATGGAAGTGAGAGTTTGATCATAAAGAAGGCTGACTGCTGAAGAATTTATGCATTTTGCAGGAAATCAACCCTGAGTGCTCACTGGGAGGACAGATCCTGAAGCTGAGGCTCCAATACTTTGGCCATCTCATGAGAAGAGAAGACTCCCTGGAAAAGACCCTGATGCTGGGAAAATGTGAAGGCAAGAGGAGAAGGGGACAACAGAGCACGAGATGGTTGGACAGTTTCATCGAAGCTACCAACATGAATTTGACCCAACTCCGGGAGGCAGCGGAAGACAGAAGGGCCTGGCTAAACGACTAAACAACAACAACAACAACAGTAGCTTCCTGACTGTTTCTGTCTTCTTACTCCTTGGCCTGGAATTTAGGTGATGATTAGCAAAGCTGAGTAATTGATATTCATCCAGAGGGAGGCAGAAACTTCATTTTCATACATTTCAGAACCACACCTGGTCTCACATGGCAAGAGAATACACAGCATGAGCTCACTCTGTCAGAGTGTTGGTCTGGGATTTGGGAAGTACAGGTTCAAATCTCCACTTGGCCATGAAACTCAACTCCCTGAGTGATCTTGAAACAGTCACTCACCTACCTCAAAAGGTTGTTATGAAGATATGGTGAGGAATAGAATAACACACATCCCTCTGAGTTTTTTGAAGTCAAGGTGGACAAGAAATAGCTAGGAGGTAGCCAGAATTCTGTGAAGTTGCTTTTCCTTGAATTTTAATTTCCAGAATTCCCCAGTCAGCATAAACAGGAACTATGCTGACTAGGGGAATCTGGGACTTATAGTCCAACCCTGCCACCCCTGACTCTGACCAGCTCAAGAGGTGGCTCTGCCTCTGATCTCTGATCCTCCTGCAATTCTTTCTTCAAGAGCCCAGGGTCAACTGGAGTAGGAATTTCTTTTTGCCAGGAGACTCGGTTTCATCTTAACTCAGTATCTTCACAGGAGGATTCCACCTGCAAATGAGTAAACTGTGCTGGGCTCTTTAGAGACAGAGAGTAATTATACACGTGAATAAAATCTGGATGTGGGAGACAAGCATGCTGACAAAATGTAGCAGCTTCCAACCATTCATTCATCCATTCCCTGCTTAAACCTTTGAGAAACTTTTTGCATGTGGAGATGCATGACTGTCCAATGAGAGCACTGATCTAAGAAAGCCATGCAGCAGGCAAACAACTAATGAGAACCATTACTTACAAAAAGCCTGGCCCACTGGCTCCTTTGAAAACATCATTGGGCAACTTTTCCAGATGGTAATTACCACTTAGGTTTCTGTAAGGAAAAAATCATCAAGCAATCAGCCAGTCAATAAAATGAGCTTTGAAAACCTATTACTGGATTGATCGATCTATCTATCTATCTATCTATCTATCTATCTATCTATCTATCTATCTATCTATCTATCTATCTATCTATCTATCTATCTATCTATCTATCTATCTATCTATCTATCTATCTATCTGTCTGTCTGTCTGTCTGTCTGTCTGTCTGTCTGTCTGTCTGTCTGTCTGTCTGTCTGTCTGTCTGTCATCCATCATGATTTTAAAAAGTACTTGCAGATTGAGTCATGGGAATAAGCATTAGGGGTGTTTCCTAGGCAGAATCCTAGGGGTTGAGTTGAAAAAACACAAATCTGTCCATGTCTAACTGCCCAGGCTCCATCATGCCATGGCCCATGGCAGTCCTGAGCCGAAGCCCTTGCTGTCATTGTTGCTGCCACTCGCTCTGCTCTGGCGTCCCCATCCACCTTGCTCACCTGAACCTGCCTGGAGCAGGGCCCACCTGGCAACAGGAAGCCATGCTATCCAGAGAAAACCAAGGGGTGTGTGGAACGGATGCCCCTCCACTTGGGGCTCCTGCTCACAGGGATGGGGAAGGTGATAGCCAGCAAGAGACTGGTGCTGGGGGCCTCTGAGGAAGGAAAGGCCAGGCACTGGAGGTTCCCTTCGTGTGCAAATGACACTTTGTTCTTTTATCCCAGGTTGATCCATTGTGGGGAGCCCCCCCTAGAGGTATGCAAATTCAACTCCCAGAATTCTGCCTGGTGGCTTTTTTCGAGAATTCTGGGAGTTGCAGTCCAGTTCTGGTAGATGATGCCTTGGAATGTAGGTGGGTTGGAGAACAAAAACACAAGAGATTACCCTTAAAGAGAATTCCAGTGGTTTTTGAGGTTTAGCTGTAGTGCTGAGGTTAGATTTTAGGTTATGAACCCATTGAGAATTCACTGACTCTCCCTTTTCTCTTCCTGACTATTAGAATGTGTAACTTCTGCTTCTCTCTTGGCATCATGGCTTGCCCAAAATGGAGACAGAGAGTATTATACACATGAATAAAATCTGGATGTGAGAGACATGCATGCCGATGAAATGTAGCAGTTTCCAACCATTCATTCATCCATTCCCTGCTTTCAGAAAGCCTTATGCTGGCAGCAATAAAAGAAAAAGAAAACACATGCAAGAGATTTATAGGGATATTTGTTCTTTGTCTGTTAAAGAAAACTGTATGCAACCAGTGGGAATCTCAAGGACATCACTTGTAACTTTTCATGTGACAAAACTGGCAATGTAAAATTGTGATTTTTTTAGGTACACTTCTATAACAAAATATGACTCTGGGGAGCTAAAATACCCTGTCCTGGTGCATGTGGTTTAAAGATACAGTGGTGCCTCGCATTACGATGTTAATTCGTTCCAGCGAAATCACTGTAGAATGAAAACATCGTAAAGCTATTTTAAAAAGCCCATAGAAACGCATTAAAACCCGATTAATGCATTCCTGTGGGCTTGAAACTCACCGTCCAGTGAAGATCCTCCGTAGCGCGGCCATTTTCACTGCCCGTACAGCGAGGAATCCGTCCCAGAAAAGAGCGGGTGGCCATTTTTTTTCACCCTGCGGCCATTTTGAAACCACTGATCAGCTGTGCGGAAATCTTCGTTTTGCAATAACCATTTAGCGAAGCAGGTAACCGATCATTGCAAATTTAGTGAAGCGGGTAACTGATCATCGCAAAGCGAAAAAAACCCATAGGAAACATCGTTTTGCAATCACTTTTGCGATCGCAAAAACTTCTTCGTTACGCGATTTCATCATTAAACGAAGCGCTCGTCTTGCGAGGCACCACTGTAATGGCCAAAATCATGCTGTGTAGTTATTCCTGTGTAATTTGAAGTTGCACAACCAGTTGCAAAATTCACTCCAAGGCAGAAACCATATCCAGCAAGTAGTTCCACAGATGCAGTGGTGCAATTAGTTGCACAGTCAATTACACAGTTCATTGTGTCTGGATGCTATTCGCCGCAAACTTCCACTGGCATAACTTTATGCTATGCTAAGTGCAATGTTTTTATCTTTAGCTGATTCTGCCAAAATTAGACTTCTACCAGTGTTTTAATCTGTTTTAATATGGGACCCAAATTAGTGAGTTCAAACTACAAGAAAGGGGTTTTCAGTGGAATATTAGGAAAAAAATTCTAGATAGCAAGGGCTATTTAACAAGGGAACGGACTATCAGAATATGGTGGGGTTTCCTTCATTGGAGGTTTTTAAACCAAAGTTGGATGGCCATTCTGTCCAGGATCTTTTAGCTGTGGATCTCCTGCTTTGAAAGAGGGTTCGGCTCAGTGACTCTTGGGGTCCCTTCCAGCTTTACAGTTCAATAACTTGAACATTTATAATTCCATTCAAGCAAGCAAAATCCCATCACCAATGAAGACCACAACCATGCATAGCTGGAGAAGCCAGTTTATCACTTAGTGGCCATTTCTTCCGGTGATAATCATTTCTGTACTTAACCTGACTTGTCCTCCAATGGCAGACATGCAGTCCACCACTGGGAATGTGTTTGAAGTCTTAACCAGCTACGTAGAACCAAAATAGGACTAACAGAACCAAACACTGAGGTTTCTAAATAAAGTTTGGATGGCTATCTGTCAGGGATATTAGGGTTGTGGAGTTTCTGCTTTGATCCTTGGTGTCATTTCCCACTGTATGGTTCTACAATTCTATGATATGTAAGTATTTGAGGCAGGGGAATAATAATAATTACTAAATGAAACAAAAACGTACAGTAGTGCCTCGTAAGATGATGTCAATTCATTCAGCGAAAAACGTCGTCTTGTGAAAACATCATCTTGCGAAATGCGGTTCCCCACAGGAATGCATTGAAATCTAACTAATGTGTTCCAATGGGGGAAAAAATCGTTGTCTTGCAAAAAAAGTCTTGCGAAATGCAGTTTCCCATAGAAATGCATTGGAATCTAATTAATGTGTTCCTATGGGCAAAAAAAGTCAGAACAAAGTCAAATAAAAAACTTTATAAATATCATAGAAAAACATTCGTTTTGCGAAAAAGCGTCCGTTAAAAAATTGTCTTGCGAGTCGCGGACCCAAACATTGTCTTGCAGATTAATTGTTCTGTGAGGCAATCGTCTTGCGAGGCACCATTGTATATATGTAGATTAAGAGAGGCACACAAAACTGAATGGTTCTATGGTAAATTCAGAAAATAGTGATGGCTAGGACAGTCATTGCTTGAAAAGCAGTGGACTGGGCTTAATGATTCCTCCACTTAGCATTAATTGAAAGGAATGTCTTTGGTACAGTAAATATTTTGCATGCAACATCCCCCAGACTGCCAGAATAGGAAATTAGAAATAAATACATACAGTTCAGATAAGACAGTCCCATTGAAGGCATGGTTTTCAATCTCTCGAATTCCATTTTTATTCAATCTTCTGCAATAAAGAAACAACCACTGTTAGAGCCATCATTGTTTTTCAAAAATATCTTTACACGTTCTTTAACACAAAATCAAATTTTAAAAACATATTTGCCAATAAAGAACTCTCTAAAATAAACCTCTCTTCGTGACACCCTCACTGACACTAATTCATCAAATCACATTTTCGCATTAGCTGTAGGAAGATTCTGCCGTAAAATTAGACCACAGTGAAACTCTAACAACAGTAATTAGGCAGTAGAAATTCGTTGACTGGACGTTCTACTTTCCTTGTAAGGAACTCAAGAGTGGTGTAGCCAGAGGTAGTGATCCAAGGCCATTTGACGGGCGTCCTGGAAAACTGGGGGTTCAAACCTGAATTTCTATGGTCAAAATTCAATAGCATAAGACGTATACTAGGAACAATGGTGCTAACAGAACATTTCCATTTATAGTACTGCAATTCCTTTACAATAAGATCTGGTCCTTTAAAAAGGCACAGTGTTGGTATGTATTAAAGCTGTAGGTTGCACGTTTCTCCTTACCCCAAAGTAGAATAAGCTTGTGTGTGTGTGTGTGTGTTATGGAAGAGGTTAGATCACATTTTCACTATTTCCTTATTTACAAATAAGCAAGCAAAGCGTCTTGGAGTCCAGTCATCCTGGCTGGGGTTTCCACGACTGAAAGCCTCTAACATTTGGAGGGCTGAATAATGTTAACCGGTGAGTCCAGTTTGTGTTTGAATCCACTCTAGGTTTTAGTCTGCACTTTACCAGCACCATCCAAGGTAATAAACCCCCACTCCCAAAACAGGTTCAGGACCTTGGATAATTTCTGCAAAGTACATAACAAAACTTGGAGTGGACTCACAGCACCTCTGAAATTGGACTTGCTAGCCATCTTTGGAGCCAATGATTGAAAATACTTATATTATACCACTTCAGGTCCTTGGAGAGATGCTCTGGATTCCCTTTGGAGCGCACCCTCTCTCTGTCCATTTGTTTCTTCCAAACCACAAGCTGTTTCATACGCACACATGAAGTTATTTCATTTGCCCCCCCTTTAGTTCAGTGTGCCTTTGAGTTATACTTTCTGCCTTATTCAAACAGAAACTGGTAGTATTGAAGTCACTTGAAAGTATTCTAATTTCTGAACTCAGTTTTTTTTTTAAGGATTTCCAGTTGTGGACTTTGTTGTAATGAGTAAGTGTTGCATCAAGTTGATGGGTAAAATCAGTTTGCCTTAAAGACCCATCAAGGAGAAGTATTTAAGCTTTGGCAAATGTTTCTCACAGTTGAATTTCCCAAAGGAAATCTGATCATGCTGGAAATTTTAAAAAAATAAAATAAAATCCAACAACAGTAACAAAGAACTCTAAATATTTTGCTAAATCCTACATTTGTGAGTTTCTGCACTTTAATTACTGCACTTTAGTAGTTTTTTTTGTCACACCCTTCATTTCTCACTCCATTCGCGCTGCCATTTTAACATCTAAGCTCCTAAGGTAAAGACCTGCTGTTTTTGATGAATAGCCTGGTCAGTGTTGATGTGGGTCTAGAGCGCCACCTGCTAAAAGTACCATTGTAATCTGATGAGGTGCCAGTTGAGTGTGACCGAGAACATGACCTGCACTTTGTCAGATCATCGCTGTGGCTTCTGCAGTTGAATTCCATGCACATCAACCCTGAAGAGGATACTAGCCTGTGTGGTTCGCAAAGTATCATGAACAGGGATGATGTATGAAGATGGTTAAACTCCATATTAATAAACTGCCCTTTTAGCGATGCCCCCCTATGGAAGCCTAAGTTTTTGCACCATAAAGTTACCATCTGAGGTTTTGTATGATAAAGATGTAGGCCCTATCAGTTTTCTTGCAACCCAATGGAAGGGCTGTGGGACTACAATTCCCAGAGCCCTGTAGTCCACATGGGAAGTGGTCATAAAGGTAGGGGAATTCTGGGAGCTGTAGACCAAAAAAGCAACATTTTCAACCTCTGGCTAACTTACCATGTTTGGATGTTGTACTGCCCCCCCCCAAATAAATAAAAATAAAAAAAGAAAGCAAGCAAGAAAGAAAAAGAATAACAATGGTCTTGGGGATCCTGTGTGTGTGATCTCAAAGGTTGCCAAGAAATTTCCCACACTAGGGATATTGATGGTTAATGTGCTTTCCCCACTCATTCTGGCTTAATCTGAAATCACTGTCCATTCTATTCATAGCTCTGACCACATAATTTGCCCTGCGCTCCGCTGCTATTGTGACTCAGCAAAGCTCATCCTTCTCTTAACCCAACATGGCAGGCTTGAGTGATGGGTTGACAATGAATCATTTAATTAAACTGTCAGAAATCCTCCACACTTGCCCTCTAATCCAGAGCAAAAGCTGTCCAGTCGAGCGATACGCTTATCTAAGGTCCAAAAGGGTGTGCTAAGGTTGACGTGGAAATCAATTATGGTCATGGTTGGGAAGATTACCCTTTTGACCGCGAAAGGCACAAGCCCTGTGGTGTCACGTCTTCCATGACTGTCAGAGCTGATCAGGGCTTACCAGGAAACCTTCCGTAATTCTTTTGGGAGGTGATAAACCCAATAGGAATCATCTCAAAACCAGGCTCCAAAACATGGGTGTATTCAAGAAGACAGCAGAGAGGCACAGAAGAGGGAATTAATCTGGATGTGGAATTCCCTAGGGTTTAGCCTCCAGTCTTGAGGGAAGATTCAGAAGTCATTCAACAGCTAACAACCACTTGGCAGGAGTTTCCAGATAAGGCCAACATATTGTTCATCCATAGTTCCTGATTAACACTGACAAAACAGGATAAATGGGATGCCAAGTGTTCTTTCCCAGGCCATGTTCTTGTTTAACATCCATATAAATGATTTGGACAGAAGGATAAAGGGAATGCATCTGGAAATGAGAGCAAATTGAATAGGGTAGGTAGAAGGCAACAACTGGGTTCAAAATGATGCAATACAGGGACAGAATGGAAAAACTGGGCCAAAGCTAATGAAATGAATTTAACAGTTTAAGAAGAATTCAGTAGTGGAAGAAGGATATTGACAAGCTCGTACATGTTCAACAGAAGGCAATGGAGATGGTGAGAGGCAAGGAGACCAAGTCCTATAAAAGGTTGAAGGATATGGTATGTTTACTGCAAAGAAGAGACAATTAAGAGATGACATGACAGCCCTCTTCAAATATCTGAAGGCTTATCAAATAGAAAATGGAGCAAATGTTGGTTCAACAGCAACAAAAAAGGGATTTCAGCTAAAGATTAGAAGAGCCTTCCTTGTTGCATATGCTAATCAATGTTAAAGGACAAGCCCCTCCCTTTGTATGTGTGGCAAGTACTACAAGCTGTGACCCTGTGTTTCTGAGCTGCAAAACATTAAACTGCTATTCACTGAATTGTAGTTCTAAAACTCCTCAGTCCATCATAGTGTTTTCCTCATGAACCTATTATCTGCTTTCCACATGACATCTCTCTTCGAAGCATGCTGGTATTGCATAAAGGCTAAAGAGACTCAGCTGCAAAGGCCAAAGCCCTCAGTTCAAATTGTACCTCTACAATGAACTCACTAGGACAGTGGTCCCCAAATATTCTTGGACTAAAACTCCCAAAATCCTTCACTACTAGCTCTGCTGGCTAGAATTTCTGCATGTTGCAGTCCAAGAACATCTGGGGAATCCAAGGTTGGGAACCATTGCAATAGGAGGTGTTAGAAAAGTTTGCATCTGTCTCTCTTTTTCTTTCCCCCTGCCTAATTCCAACCATCTGTCCAATACTTGACTTTTACTTTCTACTTAACCTTCCTTTCATATTCTCCATCTTGATTAATACTAACTTTCATATTCTCCATCTAATATTGTCAATGAACATTGTTGTTTTAATTGCTTTTATGAATAATTTATTGTGAGCCACCCTGAGTGGAAGGATGGGATAAAAATCTAATCAATCAATCAATCAATCAATCAATCAATCAATCAATCAATCAATCAATCAATCAATCAATCAATCAATCAATCAATCAATCAATCAATCAATCAATCAATCAGTAACATGGGGTAATGATATTTACTGAATTGTTGCAAGGATTACAACTGGATAATACATAGCAAACTAGTTGTCTTTCTGGTGCCGCAGAGTCCTTGTTTCTCCCAGCAGCAACTAGGAACAAAAGTCCTGCATTTTCTGTAGATTTACCACTGGGAGGTGCAATGTTGGCATTCCTTCCTTCCTTCCTTCCTTCCTTCCTTCCTTCGACTACAGTTCCCATCCATTAATGCTCATGGTCATTCCTGAGTTGAGGTCCAGAAAAGCAATGTTTCTGAACTATGTTTTGCCATCCCAGTATTGCACACACAGTATTCTGGGCCATTTACAAGCAGCCAAAACCAATACAGAAATAAAATCAACAGTAAATTAAAACAAAAATGCAGGTAGCGTTAGACCAGATGGCGCCAGAAACAACTTCCCCACTAAAAGCACATTTAAAACTGTGCTGCTCTCTTTGCATGTTCATTTATTTACACAACAACAACAGGCCAGCAGAAAAACTGAAGTGGGTCTACTTCCTGTTTTGCCTTTTTTTTGCAGCCGTCACAGCTCCTAGTGGGTTCTTTGTGTTGACAATTTGTGCGTGCTCCTATTTGGTTTTAGGACATCATTTCTACCTTTCCCATTCTTACACTGCTCATTTTACATAACTCAGTGGCAGCACATCCCAATTGACAGAAGTCCATTCTCTGACTCTATGCAACCTTTCCATGTTGTCCATTGGCAAACCCCAATGATATCCTCTCTCTTGTATGTGTCCCTTCAGCCACTAATATATGATTCGGGCAGCTTGAGAGAGCAGCTATGGAGGATGATCAACTGTACACACAGGGTACATATAAACAAGAGATGGAACTGTATGGTAGTTTGGCAGAAAGAAAGGTAGGAAGGAAATAGTACCATTTAAGTTGGAATTCAATACTGCAATTCAATATTTCCTCAGACTGGGTTGCCTATGAGAATAGCACTCCCTGACATGTCTGTCATAAGACCAACCAATGATGAAGGAGGAAATGGTGGCAGTTGTAACTTGTTTCAACTTTTAAATCAGTAAAGCTGATTTAAAAGTTCCCAACCTTGGGTAATCCAGATGTTCTTGGACTGCAATTCCCAGAAGCCTTTGCCACCAGCTGTGCTTCCTAGGATTTTTTGGAGTTGCAGTCTGGGAACGCTTGGGTCATCCTTGGTTGGAAGCCAGGAGTTAAATAATAACTGTTTGCTTATGCACAAAAATAAAAAATATCTGAATAAACAATACCTTTAAAAGTCCCATGTGCTCATTTTCTGCTCCCAGACTGCATGAACCCAAAGTGGGTAAAGATACCAAAAGAATACAGCCCAGATGTGGACTGAGAGACATCATATCAGTTTAACTTTACAGGGTTTGGGGACACCCTGAGCCCTGTTTTATTATAAAAGCAGCCTTCTGAGAAGGGTTCCAAGGGCAGAACATGCCGATTTTCCTTGATTTTTTTTCCCCAACAGAGGAGGCTTTTTGAGAGCAGGTGCAAGGGTGACAACCACATCCTTGGGGCTGCATATGGCAAGTAGCACATGTTTTATTAACCTGTGGTTTACACGGGAAAGCATGTGCAACTTATACCATCACCACAATAATAACCATGAAAGAAAAGCAGTAGATTTTTAAATATGCACCATCTTCATGAAAAAGACAGGGGAAAAAGAATCAAGGAAGCATGCTGGCTCATTAAACAATGTGATTGTTCGCACACAATGAGAAGGCTTCAAAGCACACTGCATGACACTGCCCTGCAAAGTCGCCCAGAACGAGATATTAACATTATGTACAAGTGTTTCAGATTATCAGTCTCCCTCCCTCCCTCCCTCCCTCTCTGCCTGCCTGCCTGCTTGCCTGTTGTTTGCCTGAGTAATGGAATATCTGCAGCCAGCTGGAAAGATAGAACAGCCCCACTGCCTTGAGCAGCACTTGAATGATGTGGGACTGTCTTGGCAAATGTAAGGAGAAACTAACCTGGGAACCATTCATTTTTAAATTTGCTCCATGTTGCGCTGCTTGAGAGTGAGCAAATGAAACAGAAAGAGAGTGGGAAAGAGAAGCCGACATTGCAAGAGGGGAAAGAGAGCAGCATTGCCAGTACAGTGGTGCCTCGCTAGACAGTTACCCCACATGACAGTTTTTTCACTAGACATTGATTTTTTGCAATCGCTATAGCGATTCGCAAGACAGTGATTCCTATGGGGGAATTTCGCTGGACAATGGTACCTGCTTTGCAAACCAATTTTCGCTAGACAATGATTTTGACAGCTCCTTGTGCGCTTGCAAAACAGGTGTTTTCGGGACCTAAGCTTCGCAAGACAGCTATTTAAGCAGCTGATTGGTGGTTCGCAAAGTGGCTTTCCTATGGCCGATCTTTGCTAGACAACGATGATTCTTCCCCATTGGAACACATTAAACAGGTTTCAATGCATTCCAATGGGGAAATGCTTTTCGCTAGACGATGATTTCGCTAAACAACGATTTCAGTGGAATGGATTATCATCGTCTAGCGAGGTACCACTGTATTTCTGGAACCAAGGGTTGATTTCTTATCTGCAAAACCCAAGCAGTTGGAAAGTTGTGGTGGATCTGGCTCCTAGGAAAGGAATTTCATAATGGTATTTTCTTTTTTTAAAATGCAGGATGAATAGTAGACTTTGGGGAGGATGCTGAAAAAGGAAGAACATCTAACAAAATGGTGTGGGAAACGTAGGGCCTGCCCAAGACATTTTGCTGTCTGAGGGAGAGAGGGTACCTCACCTTGTTCTGGGTACATAGACTGACAGGGGTGTAAATTCTCTCTTGTTTTGTCCTTGTACTGGAAGATAAGGAAACATGAAAGGATTCTCCTCAGCACAGCAAGGTATTTCATGGCAAGAGAATGAGAACAAGACTGCATTTTGTGCAGACTGAGCAAGGTTTCACAAACAATGCACATGGTGCAAAATGATGATGGATGCTACTTTCTGGCATGGATTTTGAAAGGTGGAAATATCCGGAAAAAGGGGTCTGTCTGCATCTCTCTCTCTCTTTCTCTCTCTCTTTAAACAATTTGCCAGTTCTTCCATGCTTTCTCTCTCTCTCTCTCTCTCTGTGTTGTGTGTCTGTGTCTATGTCTCTCTCTCTCTCTCTGTGTGTGTGTGTGTCTGTGTGTATGATTTGATCCTCCAAAGGACAATAGTTTCCCACAGAGACACTGCGTGCAAATTATGGAAAACACGTAGAGAGAAGAAGAATATCTCTTGCCTCATACTCGCCTGGTAGAGATTTTCACAAAGCTGGAAAAGTACTCATTTGCTGAGTCTTGTTGAGTCGAGACACCCTAAACTGATGAGAATGAAGAACTGTGTGAGTATTCATTACATCCCTGGAAGACAACTGCCCTGGCAATGAAGTTTTGCTTCTACAAGTCTGGTTGGCTTGGCTTGGTCCTTGGTGTCTGAGGCAGCCGGCTAAGCTAGGGACTCCAACAGAGGCCATCAGGCACCCTCCAGAAGAGGAAACAAGGGAAAAAAAATTTAAAGCCTTGAAAGAAACAGATAAGGGCTGCTGCCTCTAGCATCTGTTGCCTGAGGCAGTGACCTCACTCTGCCTAACTGGAGGACTAGCACTGGGAAAAAGTGGCTGAGATGGAAGATGATTATAAAAAAGGACTGGTTTTTCTTTTATGACAGACCCATGGACTTGCCCCTCATTATCAGGAACAGTCACGTACTTCTGTTAGACAAGAAACCTGTTTTTAGGCACTTCTAAATTATAAATCACAGTATCAGTAGTGCGTGTTTATGTAAATCACAAAACATCTGTTTAACATCGGAACAGAACACTGCACAGACGCACACATAGTAAACAAACCCCAAAGTATAATTGTCAGATATTACTTACATGTCAACACGATTGGAACTAAGGCCCAGGAAAGAATTTCTTTCAATCTTTCGTATATAGATGTTGTCTTGGATATCTCTAAAATGTTTTTTTAAAAAAGATATTTTAAAATTCATATTTTGTAATGCATTCTTGCCATGTAAGAAAGGCACAAATATCTATCTATCTATCTATCTATCTATCTATCTATCTATCTATCTATCTATCTATCTATCTATCTATCTATCTATCTATCTATCTATCTATCTATCTATCTATCTATCTATCTATCTATCTATCTATCTATCTATCTATCTATCTATCTATCTATCTATCTATCTATCTATCTATCTATCTATCTATCTATCTATCTATCTATCTATCTATCTATCTATCTATCTATCTATCTATCTATCTATCTATCTATCTATCTATCTATCTATCTATCTATCTATCTATCTATCTATCTATCTATCTATCTATCTATCTATCTATCTATCTATCTATCTATCTATCTATCTATCTATCTATCTATCTATCTATCTATCTATCTATCTATCTATCTATCTATCCGTCCGTCCGTCCGTCCGCCCTTCTTTCTTTCTTTCTTTCTTTCTTTCTTTTTCTCTCACACTTTTAGCTTTCTTTTTTAAGAACAAGATTTTCCAGGGAAGGAGCAAAATCCAAACCAAAGAAGATTATAGTTCAATACCAGTGGTGCCATATTGAATTGCTGAATGAGAAATATATGACAATGAATAATGTAAAGTTGGCTAAGACAGATTTAGTTATTGGAGATCTATACAGATAAGCCAAGAGTCAAGATCCTGGCACCAGCAAAGTATTTGATACACTGGCCCAAAAGTTCTGTTACCCATAACCACCACCCTAATAATGCTCAGAATTAGAAGCAGGTCTTGAAAGATTTGTCTGTGTATCAGAAGAGATGTTGTCTCAAAAATTCTGGTCCTTGATGATAAGTCTGTTTGCTCTTCAGGAACAAGAACTGTGCCTTCTCCAGAGCTAGGAATAGTTCCTTTGTGAACTACAATTCCCAGTGGTCAAGCTGTCTTCAAGGATTCTGAGACCCCCTATGCCCAAACCCAAACATTTCCAAGCATTGTGTCCCCGGCAACACAATCAATTTACTTACTTAAAACGAATGGTATTTAAAAATCTTTAGAATAACTCCAAAAGCTGTGCTCTTTTAATCAGTAGCCCATGTTTATTTGCAGAGGTTTAAACATAATTCCGGTTGAGATTTCTCCTTCAACATTTGTTCCACCTCTAGTATGGATGAACTCACTTCAAACAATTTATCCTTTGAATTCCTTCAAGTTTCCTCCACAATGGACAGACAGACCCACTCACCCATTCAGGTACACACATGTGCATGAATAAATATGCTTGAAATCTCCAATATCAGAGGAATACAATTAAAAAAAAACTTACAGCACAACCTTCTGCAAAGAGTGTATCTGGTTAACAGCAGGCAAAAATCTGATGGCAGTGTTTGATATAAGCCTGAAAAAAAGCAGAGAGAGCAAGAGAATGAGAGAAAACAGTTGGCTGAGAAATAACAGATACAGTTAGCTGCAGATATGGGGGTATTTGTATAGGAATATCTCCGCACAGCTGGACTTAAGGAAGGGCTGGCCCCTGCAGTTGGCCCATCCACTGACACATCTGGTGGTGGCGGCAGTGGCCTCGGTCATCCTTCCAATTGCTCCCGGAGCTCCGCTCTCTTCCTTCTCGGAGAGCAACTCAGCAGCCTTGCAGGGAGACTCATCCTCCCTCCCCCTGCCTGGAGTGGTCAGGTGAGCAGCAAGAGAGTGGAGCTCTGGGAGTGACTGGAAGGATGAGAGAGGTCACTGCTGCCGCCGGACACACGAGTGGATGGTCTGGGCCCAGGGGCCGGACCCTCGTTAAGTCCAACTGTGCAAGGATATTCATATACAAATACCTCCATCTCTAGTTAGTTGATGTAACCCTTATGAAATATTGTTTCAGCCCGAAGGGTGAGACTAAAAAAGAGCAGGGCTGTGAATAAGAGATTTGAATCAGAAAGAGTGGGAGAGCTGATGAGGCGGGAGCTGCTATTGCCACTTAGATTTCTAAGGCCCTTGCCAACTTCGTCTAGGTATGATTTCTATTTTTGTTTGTTTGTTTGTTTGTTGGAGGGGTCAATCCACACATGCAATGGGACTGATATTTTATTTTAGGGGTTTGAAGATTTTGCATGTGTCACTGATTCTTCTATGTTATAGTTACCCAACTCAGTCGAAGAAGATATTTTGGATTTTCTGTCTGAATTTGAATTCAAAAGGACACTTGAGCTTTGCAATGCTACAAGCAACTTCTGTACTGGTGCTGTTGCTGAAGACTTCGATGCACAAATTGTAGCATGTTGTTGTTGTTTGTTTGTTGTTGTTATTATAAATGTGGGTTCAATCTGTTGTACAACTGTGAATAAGAATATAGACATTTGATGAACCTGTGTTTGCAAGGTTCATCAACAGTTATCTAAGTAAGCAATAGCCCTATAGAACCTAAAACTTTTACACTGAGAAACAATAAAAGTATAAGAAATGCCAGAACAGAAGGAGTCCAACATGAACTCAACCCTACTCTAATACTGAAACCTCCTCTTCCCTGGAGAAAAAACTAACCAGTGTTGCATTGTGAAGAGTGTCAGACTAGGACTCAGGAGACCTGGGTTCAAATCCCTGCTCAACTGTGGAAACACATTGGGTGGTGGCAACAGTGAACCCTTCCTCGAGCATCTCATATACCTCCCAAACCCTATTAGGGTCACCGTAAATTAGAAGCGAATTGATGATGCACAAGAGCAGCAACATCATTGTGCACCAATGGAATGTGGATTGAGAGCGAGTGTTTCTCTGTAGGTCCCAAATCCCATTGGGTTTTTTTTTTAACCAGTGGAGCAATTCCTGATTGGAGGTGCCAGTTGCAGGAGCAAAAATCTCTCTGTCTCAAATTCCAAATTTTAAAACTTGTTTTAAAATGGTTGTTGTGAGTTTTTCGGGCTCTTTGGCCATGTTCTGAAGGTTGTTGTTCCTAATGTTTCGCCAGTCTCTGTGGTTGGCATCTTCAGAGGAATGGAGTAGGAACTCTGTCCATGCTCTGTTGCTGTTTATTGGATAGTTGAGTATTTATAGCTGTGGGAATAGCTTTTGTCTTTTTTTTTTAAAACTCAGCTATCCAACAAACAGCAACAGAGCATGGACAGAGTTCCTACTCCAGTCCTCTGAAGATACCGGCCAAAAAGCCTTCGTGAATACATTGGTTTTAAAGCTGTTTTTAAAAAAGCTTAAATCTGTAAAAAAAAAAGCTTAAGACTACAGGAGGAAATGGTGGTTATGACTCGTTTCAAGTCTTTAATCAGTAGTTAACCCTGAGCCCTGTTTTATTGTAAAATCAGGATTCTTAGAGGTTTCTAAGGACAGAAAATGTCCCCCCCCCAAGCAGGGGAGGCCTTTAGGGGCAGGGGGTGAGGCCACAAGAACAACCTTGAAGCTCTGTATGACATGTAGGCCATACTTTATAAACCCATAGCTTATAGGGAGAAGTCTGCAAGTCTTACATATACAGAAGAATTACACTTGCCTTAAATCAGTGGTTCTTAACGTGGGCGATAATGCCCCCCAGGGGGCGATTTCATTTTTCAGGGGGGCAGTAGAACG